TTAATTCTGTACAATTACAACTATAACGTGGCTACAATATGTACAAAGTTTATATTCATGCTTTCTAATTCTTTTTATACATTATACTTTCATACTGCCTTAACAAAGGTCACTATTTTTTGAAACGTCATCCTAGTCATACAAAATTTAAATAAAAATTATTTAAAAATTATAATAAAAATTTCATATACTATTGAAAATAATTGTCTGACATTATCAAATAAATTGAGAAAGATTTTCCTAAAATTGAAAAGATTCAAGAATAAATTAACATTTTGATAACTGAATTATTGTAGTTTACCTTTCATGTTCGGACCCCCGAGTCTCGAAAGTCTCGTATCCCCCTTTGGAAAAACCATCACATTTAACGCGATTTAACGCGTCCGCGTTACACGAGGGATAAGAATGAACCGTTTTAAGTGATTCTGTTTCATCGTGCGTTCAGGGGGCCGGAAGATTTTAATTCGTCGCTCGTCCATAGCGTAAAAACACTAGAATTTCGTCGAGTATCACGATTTCGGTGCTGTACATCTAATAGAACGTACCGTACATATGTACAGACGAGTAGCCAGTGGACTTCCGCTGTTCACTCACGAAACTACTAATTCTGCATTTCTCCTTTCCCCGTTTTTTTTCATTCCTTTTTTTTGTTCCGCGCCGGTAATTAACTCAAAAATGCTAACACTGTGGAATACGGGAACGTAACAGCGAACGTGGAGCCTTCTTTATTTTTTTGTTCACTTTTTTGTTCCTTCTTCGCTTGCGCGACGCGGACGCAGCTCGCATAAAATTCCAGGTCGCTCGGGAAAGACCGATGTTATGTTAATGCAACGCACATTAATTGAATAGTTTGTTTAATTGTTGTGCGCAGCGGAGAAATGACGCAAAAGAGGCTACTCGGAAGAGAAGGCAATTATCGGTGGGTGTGAAATATTAATTATATCGTTTGTAATGAGGAGCGCTGAAAACATGGGGCCGTTGAAAAATCCTTAGAGCGAATTTATTATTAACGTTATGTTTTGCGTTCTTTTGCTGTAAAAAATGCTTTTTAATTTCCTATTGCATACTTTTATCCTAATTCATATTATTATTATTGAAATATGTTTATGTACTTTATTACTATTTAAATTATCACACATCATGTTAGTTCCATGAGTGTAATTGATTTAAGTTCCAATCGAATGTATCATTTATTTATTTCATCAGGCGACTTATGAAGAAATTTAACACATTTAATAAATTTCAACTTCAGCAATCACAATATTCACCTGAGCGTTATGAAAAATACGCCTGAATGCACGTTAAAGACGAATGTTTGATTCATTAATTATGCAATTGAGATGAATTTAATTAGTTACCTGTTGCGTAATTATTATCTGAGATTTATTCCTCGATTACAATAATTTTGCTAATGAGGCTCGGCAAAGAACACTCATCTGACTGTTAAGATTAATAAAGATCAATGTAAATCAAATTTCTTTTCTCTTCAGGAATAATTGTATTGTAAATTTTACATTTTGAATTAGAAATTCTAATGAATTATGATTCATCAAGATTGTAAATTTTATTTTTTCAGATATAGAAATAAAACTACATAAACTATATCAGATTGGAAGCCATTCGGCAAAACTCCAAAACGATTAATTTCATTGAATATGTTTTTTCAGTTTTTAAAGTTCGTGTAGTTGATGCTTGCATTCGATATTTATTATTGAATCAGTGGTCGTCAGTAGATTAATTGTGGCTGGTAACGGATCTGGCACTAATCGTGTATAATGAGTATCCGATAGGTCGAAAGTTTGGCATATCAATCTGTCTTAACCACGTGTTCAACGAACGACTCTGCTAGATTAATGAGTTATCTCCATTTCGAGCAACGTAACGGGAGTATTGCCATAATTAGTATTGTAATTTACTAATTTCGAAATAATAAGAAATAGCGATCAGAGTATCAGGAGTGTAATAGGTTTACATTTTAGCAGTTGGACAATTTAATAGTATATAATTAGTTATCACGTTACTCTTTCTGCAAATGCAACGATATACATGCGACCGTAGTATTTATTTCAAATTGCACGTATATTCCTTCCCACATAAATTCTCCACGTCGTATCGCGTATTTAACGAATGGGGTTAACCTCTAACCAAATTTATACTTTATGAGACATTTAACATTTTTCAGTGACGTATATTGCACACTGTTTACGTAATTGACAAATTCGAAATGGCTTGCGAAGTATTGATTTTTCGAATGGCTTGCAATATACGTTCTACACGTAGAATAACATGGAGTATTGATTTCTCTGAATAGAAATATATGGCTCAATCTAAAGAAAATAGTACGGTTGCGATTTACCAAGTATATTGTCGCACTTGGTGGCAAGATCTACTTTGTAGAGTGTTAGATATTATTGAACAGTTCTTTCTTTTGTAATACTTTGTGTATTTTCTACAATCTACTAATTTCTTCTTATTTCTAGTTTTGATTATAATTTCAGCTTAACCTTTATCATAAAAATAGAGAAACTTATCGCTTAACACTTAACTTTAACTTAACACTTTTTGATTCCTTTTTTATTCTTACTCTTATGTTTTTTCATTTTCTAGGTACTTTCTCTAAAATCTTTTTACATTTAATTTCCATACGTATGTGCTATGGATTATACTTTTTAATACTTTTTACTACTTTTTATACATAATATATTTTAAAACATATGCATTAAATATAATAAATATTTCGTTTTGCATGGGTGCATATAACTTCTAGTTATGTTTAGCATATATTTCTCAAATCCGCAAAGATAATTATAATTTCACGCTATTAATAATCTCGAAGTAAAACAATACTGTTTAAATATAAATAAAAACATTAGACAGGCTATCACTTTATTCCACGTTATAAATTTCATCGAGGAAAGTGTGGGAGCGTCGCGGTCAGGAATCGCGGAGTTACGATGCTCGGGCATAAAGGGGATTCTGTAAAATCCATGACACGGACACGTGGTCTCGTTATCTCGTACCCCAGGCGCGTCAACATGAAATTAGGGACAGAATCACGGAACAAAAGAACGATCCCCAAAGGCCTCGGAAAAGAGACGAAGATCCGGGTTACATTGGTGCACGCGACTCGAGACCACGTTTTCGCACGACAAGCTGCTGCCGGGAATCCAATAGACGGTGGGCGCGCTTTACTTCTCTCGTTCTTTCTTGGTCGAAACTTCGTTAACCTTGCCAGAGACTGCATCGGCAACAGGCGGTTTCGCTACTTCGTTAGGCCGCGCGGATGAATGCGCTGGATAATTAAAAGCACGCCGGTACGCGGACCTAATGCGAATCTTAATTACTATTGTACGTACTCGCGCTAAAAAGGCTAAGCCTTCCGGTTCAGTCGCCGTGGCGTTCCAACGCCTCCGAAGGATATTTATATAACCCAATTTTCCGAAGCCGTTCTCCGCGCAGCTTCAGATGACTCCTTTCCCTCTATTGTCCTAAGATACAGTGGATGAAAAAAAGTACGGGATTGTTACTTTTCTTAACTCTTTACACTCTAGCCGGTTTTGTATTGTGACTTCTTGCCAATATTTAGCTGTTTATGGGTTACCGTTTATGAAAATTAATGCACGGTCGTAATTCAAATTTTATTTATATTTTTTAGTATTTTTAATGTTGTTGTAGAAATCAACTATTGAATTTCACATTTTCTACTTTGTCATAGCGTGATATTTATGGAAGTCTACCATATGGATCCTGGGTTAGTTAAGACAAGTATCGAAATACGTATCAAATAACTTCCACTGTTAATAGACGTCCCAACATATTAGATGAGCTGTACGTAGTAAGCTTAATTTGTTGTAACATTAGGTTACTTTTCATTTTTTTCGCCATATGGAGTTCAGATTTGAAATCAGCGCACCCGAAAACCCCTATATACCAAGTTTCATGAAAATCGTTCAAAAGGAACAATGTTTAAAAAATATATAATAAACATTAAATAACAAGTGTTTTAGAATATCTAACAGTCATGATAAACATTTATTAAATAGGAGAAATTCTGCTCTTCAATTTGCGTTTTGTTAGAATCAAATCGGACGATTCTAACAAGAGAGAGAGAGAGAGAGATTGATTGATTGATCAAGTGACTTATATGCAACGTCCTTGCAAGGCTGATGCAATTCCAAGAAATACTATGTAGTAAACATTGTAGTATTTCCGGGTGGGAAAACCCCTCGAACTACATTAGAAGAGATTCAAACGCATCTCATTTTCTATTAGAGTGATTTTCATGAAATTCGGTATACAGGGGTTTTTGGGGTCGCTGATGCCAAATCTGAACTAAAAGTTTAGAAATTCAAAATGGCGGATCCAATAAGGCGGAACAAAATGCGAAAGGTAGCTCGATTTGAATGAAACTTGGTATGAAGGGGTTTTTGGGCTCGCTTATACCAAATTTGAACTAAAAATTTAGAAATTCAAAATGGCGGATCCAATATGGTGGAACAAAATGCAAAAAGTGAATCGATTTGGACGAAACGTGGTACACTGGGATTTTTGGGGTCGCTGATTCCAAGCATGAACTAAAAATTTAGAAATTCAAAATGGCGGATCCAATATATCGCAAAGAAATGCGAATAATGACTTGAAGGTCGCTGATTCCGCTTTCCTTTATCTTCTACAAATAAAATTAATGAAATAAATCATAGTATTTACAAAAGTACGTAGCTATAAATTCTGTATTAAAATCACAAATGTGCTAGCACTTTTTTCATTAAAAAGACCCGGCATTTTGTGTTCTAATCCTTTTAATAATATTATTTCGAATTTGATAAGAATACTTTTATATTTCGAAAGACATCAGATTTTACATTTTGTATTAATATACTACTCTAAAGCAGAAAGGTCTTTAAAGAAAACTGTGTGTGCGTAAATCAATTTTTTAACCGCTATATTTGCCCAGCAAACAGCCAGATGGTTTCCCATTAACCTGTGCAAAAATGTTTCAGGTGAAGCTCGCGACGCTTTGCGCTTGGCAATTCTGAGCTGCCTGGCTACCGAGTCAACTGGACTGACTTTTAGATCTGGAGAGTATACATGGTAAAAGTTCTGGTGAGTTTGCATGTTTTACTGAATTTTTGTTGCTACATGCTGCATTTTATATTTTGTTTTAAAAGAGAAAAATTATTTTTATTGTTTCTTAAACATCCATGATAGATTCTGATAATAATTGGCGGAGATGCTTAGAGTTATGTTTTAGTTCTTTCACTTTTAGTTAAATTATGAACATAATTGAAATTGTTTGTTATGTTGAAATGTCTTTCTTCACTTTCTTAATAAAGTTAAAATGTCTTAGATAAGGCATTTAATTCTTCGTAAATGAATCATTCGTATATCATTTACCCTATTATAAAGTAACAACCAAATTTTTTTAATTGAATGAAGAAAAGCAAATACGGTGCAAAGAAAATGCTAAAACTTCGTTTTTCTCAGATATTCGAAAGTGTTAGTTAAGACAATTAACCTAAGGAGGGCAGTTTACTGTGTATACAGGGTGGTAAGACGATATGCGTGACCTACTTCAGGGATGAATACAGCACCTGAGGGAAAGTTTTGCATAAGGCAGTGGTTCTTAACTTAGGCTTCGTAAGAAGATTTCAGGGGTTTGCGAACTTGCGTAGAAATACGTCGAATATTGATTTTCGTTCTCTATATCATATCTAAAACAATCAATTTTGCTTTTTTAAGGCTGTCAAATTCCGATTGGTATCATATTAGAAAATAATAAAGTTTTCAATTCAGTGTTGCGAATTTCCCTCGAATTTGTCAATGGTAATAGTTTTAAAAAACAACGTAAGATTTAAATGTTTCTATTTATTCTTTTGAAAGAAACAAAATTTGCGTACACCGAGCAATTATAATTCGTTTGTAACTCTTTTAGCAATTATATTTACTTCAAATATATAATTAAATTTTTTACATTTTATCTGACATCTTCATATATTTTTGTTTTTCAGAGTACTCGCTTACGAGTAATTGTATAACTTGAACCTTCACTTATGTTACAAGTAAGTCTTTATTTAATTTCACCCCTTCTTAATTTTTCTACCACTTACGTTTAGCAGAATCCATTTAATATTATTTGCTTGTTAATATGTTTGAACCCTCTGCTCCCAACTTATGTCTACATGATTCGTGTAGAACAATTAGGCTAAATTTAATGCATTTGTAGTTTAAAATATAAAAATATACGAACTAAAGAAAGGTTAGGTGTATGTAAACTTTATATTCTCTTATAATTACATAGATATGTAGCAGTGATCGTAGAAGTTACACCATAAAAGAAATGTACATATTGAGAATCTGAAAGTAATACAGATAATATCTAATAGTTTATTACATATATTAATATAACGTATATCCTTATAATACATTATCGATACACTTATTAATTATTACATATTTATAACGTATACAAAATAATTTCTTTAAAACGAAATAAAGAGATTCTTACTCAACTACGTTATCGTGGTCCAAAACAAAACTCATATTATCTAAACCGAGTTAGAAGCATACATTAGACGAACACGTCCATTATAGTCTCATTTATTATATTTAACGTACGAATTTCACTGTTTTGCCGCGAGAAGATTATACACGAATTCACAAGAACGAGCTTCCTTCGGATGGAAATTTCTTTTTTTTCGCGCGCCAGCTGAGTTGGCCGCGGTCGAAACGTTCACCGCGGAAACGTTGATGCAGTTTGGTGCTCGTGGAACACCTGGCCGTGCACACTGTCCCGCTTAATGTCGCGGTGCATCGTGTACCACGCGCGCCCATTGTTAAATTCGTTTAAGAATTCCGCGTATCGCGAATTTTGCAACGCATCCGCGTCGAGTGGCGGTGTAACAGCAGGCAAACGAGCCGCTCCACCTTCTGGAAAATTACGCGTATGAAACTCTGGCCGAGACCCGAATAAAAGATGCCCCTTAGTAAAAAAAAAGAATGAAATTAAATTTGAGAGAGTAGTTGCATAAACGTCTCGACACAATTTGAACACTTATCTAACGATTTCTTTTATTTTAGAAGGTTTTTTCATAAACATAGCGGCTATAGTAAATGATCCACTTCTTAATGATACAGGTTGGCGAATATTTTCATACACAGCAAATGTGAGACTGCGCGAATTGTTTCTGCGCAATACATAATTAAAAACGAATATAACTTCTTATATGCTTCTGAATCGCAAAAGAATACAAAATTAACAAATAAAGAGCCCTTGGGATCCCTTCAACGTAGATGTCTAAAGCTTCATTAGTTTCATGGTAGATTCATCCCAGCTTGATGTTCTTCTAAAGAGGGCCACACACCGGGTGGTCCAAACGTCAACATGTCCTCTTTTTATGTTTGATCCAATATCAAAACACATTATTCACTTTCCCTCCTCTTCCGCGCCCTGTCCATTGTACCTAGAGGCGATTGTCGACTGATAATTTCTTTGATCGCCTCCCTGTCGCGTCGCTTATGTCAGAGAATGGCCTGACGCCGGTGACACGCGCGAATTGTCCGCGATTATAGTCTCTCGGAATTGGCCAGGGAAACAATTCGCCGCGCGTCGTTCGAGAACGGGCGAACACCACGGGGCAGAAATATTAAAACCGAATAAATATTAAACGGGACGAGCGTCGCTATCCGGAATCGTATGAATATTCATTAGCTTATCGGCGAAGATAAAAATCGGACAGGAGGAAAATGAAAAATTACCACGCATAAATATGTATATCCCGTTGTTAATCGTTTCTGATGAAAAAGGAGGCCTCGGGAGATGGTGGGTCGCGCGAATTGTAATTCGCGATCCACGCCCTTGGTTCTTGCGGAATTTTTATTGAGCTTCTAAATCAACGTCGCTGTCAGATTTCCGCGAGAACCTGGAATTCCAAATCGCTCGCAGGAAAATTTTAATTAATTCCAGATTACTTTGGTCAGTCCCTCGGGAGGGGTGGCGTGTTGGGTGATCGAGACTGTAATAGAATCGACGGTTGTTCGCCGTTTTTAGCGGGTGTATTGCAGGTTCTGCGAATTTTCGCCTGGATATGTAAATTTCATTCGCAAGGTATCCACGAGTCTTGGGTCAAGTGTGATATACGGAATGGACCGTTCGAAACAGGGTTTTGAATCGAGAAATGGATGAAACGTAGACGAAATAAAGGGTGGAATATTTCGAAATTATGAAATTGAAAGAGAATTTACAACAAAAAACTATTAGAACGACGATATATGCCAAATAATTTTCATATAATGTTAAAATTAAATCAAGTTTGAGATGCAAAAAAAAAATTTACAAAATACTAAGACGTTTACATAATGAAAATTGATAATTCTCTGATCGTTCTTTATAAAACATTGATATGTTTGCTATATTTACTTACTATTTTTTCAGTGTTCGTTATTAGCATTTGAATTATCGGCTATTAGTTAATTTAACCTTCCATTTCTTTACTCTTTAATCTTACAGACAAAAACAAAGCGTCTCGAATCTTGCGATTCGTCATTAGTCGACAAGAAACCCAGAACTACTTGTTCTGTGGTTAATGTGTTAAGTTTAAATTGGATTAGGTTTGGAATCTTAAATGTTTCCACTACCTGAAGAAATTTCGGAAAACTTCATTTCACGAGCAGTTCGGTTTTAGTTCGATTAAAGTCATTTGTTTGACAAATCCATCAAATTCATTCTTCAGAGATTAGTTTAACACTACAGAAATGACAATGGTCAGCACTGACATAAATAATATTATTATATTTAAACGTGCACAGTTCAATTTAATTTCAGTCCTCCGTCGTAAATATTTTAGTCTAAACTTAGAACAATTTAATACATTTAATATTACATATAAAATTATAATTTTTTAAAGTGAGAGTCACAAGTCATGATAACTAGTTGCTTAAAAGTACAAACATTTCAAATGTTGATTATGAGTAGATATTGCTAATTAAAAAGTAAACAAATTTTTAATATTCTTTATCTTCGCGAATACAGTCGAAACGTAATGGAAAATATGATATTCAAGAAAATCATCGTCCAGAAGGGAAACCATCGCTCTCCTTCTTCATTTACATTATATTCAACCTTAAATAGCGTCGTTTCTAGAAGACGCGAACGCTAAAGGTACTGAAAAGTTGATAATCGGCCACGAATTGAATGTTCGTCAGTGGAGATGAAATTTTCTCCTGGCTCTCGAAAAATGTAGCGTTCTAGGCGTGAATCGAGTTATCGTTAGTCCAATGTAATGGCTATTCGTCAGGTAGTGGAATTGCTTCTCGAAATGAAGTGCTCGGTTATAACGTGCTACATCGACAGTGCCTAGGTGCTATTTGAAAGTCAAATACTTGCGTGGAAGACGGCAGGACAGGATGGGGGACGGGCGAAGGGCTTCAGGAGAGGGTGAAAAGGAGGAAGAACACCCACGAGATCCCAAGACATTTCATAGCATCGTGATATCTACCGCTCCTACGTAAACCGCAGACTTCATTCGATTAACGGCAGCTTCTATAATGCGAGCATCTTGCCAAATTGCCTATGGTTCAGTTAATTAAATTCAAATCGACCCCTAGCACGACGTATTCCTCGTGAATTTTTCGAATTGCTGAAATGGAACGTTGTATAGTTTTAGCATCGAGGGATTGTGCGTGTCTGATGAGGAGTCGATGAATTGAATTTATAGCTTCCATTTGTGTCCTTGGGTTGGTAAATGTTCCTTCGTTTTTACTAGATTTTAGTGGACGTTTTTGTTATATTAATTAACAGCATGCATTGGATTTTACACTGAATAGAAAGACTATAAATATTTATTTGTATTGTTCTATGAAACAACTTTGTGCTGACAGAAATAGAGTAAGTGCACCTTTAAAATAGACCTTTTATTATATTAATTAAATGGGTGCATTGGTATTCGTGCTGTAAAATACGACTAAAGAAACACATTTAATTTTATCGTTGATTGTAAGAAACTTAAACAAGAAAAAGCAATTAAGGTTTCAACTTTGGTCACTTTCCTCCTATTTCTGCTTGGTTCCTAATTGCAATTTTTAATCATTCCCAATCCACCGGACCTCGTTTTCTACGCGATCGGTCCCCTCTACAGGTTCTAGGTGTCGGTTGCAACAGCAGCTGTCAGAAACTTCTATTATTCACCCCTGCCACCGATCCGAAAAACACCGAACTAATTCCGTGAATCAATTCGCGCTAATAGCGGCGAACAGCGGAAAACAGCGCAGAGGAGAAATTCGTATAATCGATTCGATGGCGGGGAGTCTGGCACTTCGCGTCGTCACTTTGTTTCCAGGTGGACGGCTCATGATGAAGGGTGCTCAGGTGGAAACACAACCAGTCCGCCGGCGACCCTCGAACTCCCACTTGAGCGGCGAACGTGATTCGATTTACCGCATTCCGATTGAAAACTTTTTTCTCCCGGTACGTCCAGATTCGCAAGCTCACGAGCATCCGGTGACAACTCTCGGCACGAGTAATTTCCGTTTGATTAAGGAACCAGTCAGGGGGGGAAACAAATATAGAAGAACCGGGTCGCGGCACGACGCACGGAATTCAATATTCGCGGTGGACGTGGCACGCGTGGATCGAACAGCGAAAAAATTCGCGCAGAAGTTCCCCCTTCTCTCCTCCTCCGCCACCGCTCTCTTACTCTAATTAAATTAAATCTGAATTCCGACGAACTTCGCGTCGACTAACGGTTCGGAATAGATTCATCGACGAAAGGAGAGAAAGAGACCGAACGTCATCGGAACATTCTTCTGTTGTTCCGATGATCCACGGTTTCCCCAGGCTATGAATAACGAAGTCGAATGTTCCAAAGTGGTCGGTATTCTTTTATTTTGGGAATGGCTGGGACTCGGTGGTGACTGTAAATCTTGCGACTGCGAGAGGGTAGGTTGAAGGCGTGGATAGAGAGAAATTTAGTCGACGCTTAACCTTTTGAAATTCTAAGAGGCGTGTCACTCGAATAGGTAATGACAAAATGAAACTTTTTCATGTTTACAATTTATCTAAAGA